AATAATATATATATATATATATATATAATATATAATATATATATATATATATATATATATATATATATATATATATATATATATATATATATATATATTCCATGAAATGTACAATATATTACCTATTCTTGATTCATTTCTTGTACTTGATTCATGAGTATATTGTATCTATACATATGTATATGTCAATATATTTTACTTCAATTCAAGTATTTTAAACATGACTTTTCATTGTCTTTGAAATAAGAAATAAATACTGAACTATTGAAGAAATATCAAAAATATGAAGAAAAAAAAGTAAATTTTTTTATTAATAATATAAAGTAAGATTGTATTAGGTATTTACTTAATACATCTTCAATAGTTCTTCAATAAGATATCTTCAATAAGATATTGGAAGGAATACATATAAAAACAATTTGATTTAAATTTTTGATAATATTTACGCAGATTAATGAATATTGATGAGATGCTCTTGTTGAAATAGAGATGAGTATTTAAAATCATAGAGACTTACCTGGTGGTAGGCCCATGGGGGGCGGTCGCATCATGTTACCTCCATGAATCAGAGCTGGTGCAGCTAGAGTCATAGTGGGCCGCATAAGCGGAGCCATTAATGCAACAGAACTAACAGGCATCGCTGCAGATGCAGGAACCATTACTGCTTGTGGAGGTCTCTGAAATCTTTGTTGTTGTTGTTGAAGTGCATTTAATGCCGCTTGTTGTCGCTGCTGTTGATCCTGAAATGCAGCAGCTGCATTAGCAGCAGCAGCTTGTTGCTGCTGCTGCTGCTGTTGTTGTTGCTGCTGTAATACAGCAGCTTGCTGATTGGCATCAGCAGCTTGTACAGTTCGAGTTTCTTCAGTTTGACGACGCTGATATTTTGGAAGTCTTGCCCTAATTTCCTCCTGAAATATATAATTTTTGTTTTTAATTTCTATATCTACTACTAATACATAAATAAATAAAAAATTAACCTACTAAGCTAAGATCTTCTGGAGGATGAATGATTTTAATGGCAGCACTAGTAGTGGCTATAAGATTTACTTTCTGATCATTTCCAATATTATTATTAGTTGTAGTATTGCTATCTGCATTACTATATGCAGGGAATGTTGGCTTAACAGGTCCTATAGATCCACCAGCCACTGATGTAATTGGTTTAAAATCTGTGCCTAAAGGAGAAGTCACAGATGTAGATGCAGCTGTCGAAACAGCTGCTGCACTTGGAAATAATGGTCGTGTTGGTGGTATGGATGCACCTGACACTGGTGGCTGTATACCTGGTGGCATACCTGGCATTCCAGGCATCATACTATAAAAAGAAAAAGAAAAAGAATTTATTCCTATTTTTCTTATTATTTCTATATTTTCTTTAAAACATTTACAAATTTAAAAACATTAGATTGTATTTACCTAACTTGCATTAAATTAATATCAGATATTTAACTCTTCTTTTGCGTTGTCTGGTTTTAAAAAGAATAAATTATACATACCCAGGACCCATGAAAGGTGGACCTACGGGACCCATAGGTCCCATCATATGATGCATGGGTGGTGGGAACTGTCCCATTGGTGGCATACCAGGATGAGCTGCCATACCTGGCATTACACCTGGCATCATGTTGGAACCTGTAGGCATTGCTCCTGGTGCAGAACCTAATAAACCTTCTGGCTTTGTTTTTTTCCGAACTGGTTCATCTTCACCTGAGCTTGGTGAACCAGGTCTACCACCATTTCTTTGCCTTTCATGTTCTTTTGCATCATTTGGTGGTATACCTTCCATACCATAAATTTCTATTTCAATATTGCTTCGATTTGGCAAAGAATTAGGTACCTTATCTATTGCTTCTTTATGTACCTAAAATGAAAATAACAATTTTTTGATATTTTTATATGTAGTTTATTCAAATTTATATAGTATAACATAAAAATTTATTAATATTACCTGCATACAATGTATACTAAGTCCTGGTCCCGTATAAAGCTTTTTATGACAAATGTGACATTTAAAATGTTTTGCTTTTTGATGTTGTATAAGAATTTTTTCATCTTCAAACTCCCGATTACAATACCTTAATAAACTAATTAAGGACAAAATAAATATAAATATTACATAATAATTTGAACAATATTCTTCTATAAATTTATATTATTTATTCAATTATTTATAACTTATCATAATTATGAAAATAATAATATATTTCATATAAATATCAAATAAATAATAATTATAACATTTAATAATAACTTTATAAAATTAAGAAATATTCAAATTAATTTTATAAAATTTTAAATTCTTTAACAAAGAAATTTATTTATGTATATTATTAATTATATATAATATAATATATATAAGTTATTTATCAACTAGAAATTTTATTATCTTAAAAATTCTTTCTTTTAAAATTTAGAAAAAGTTTGAATATTTAAAATAATTTTAATAAAAAAAATGTATCGTTAGTTCATAATAATTTCCATAAATGAAAATAATTAATTCTTATTATAAATAAAAATAATCTCTTTTAACTTTGAATTTTTATTAGTATTAATCTATTAAACACATATATTTAAATTGTAGCAATTTTTATTTTTTTACTTCATTAAATCATATATTTTATAGATATATATTATACATATATATATAAATATGTGTAATTCAATCAAAATAGTAAAAAGTAATTATCAGAATTAGAATAGAATTATCAATTAGAATTTGATTTATTAATACAAAATTGTACAATCTGCCATATTTCGTAAATAAATACCTTTAATGAAAAAAATGTAGCCGAATATAGTTGCCAACGAAATATCGATTTCTCACGGATTCAGCCACTTTAACTCGTCATACACTTTTACTTAACGCGTTAAAAATATTTTATCCGTTGCAATAAAAAACTTTTAAATTGTAAACTAAAATGTAATAAGATAACATAATACGGAAATCGATACATTTTTAAAATTTTTTTAATCTTATAATTCTAAAAACGATACAGTCATAATTTGGATTTATGATCGAAAAACATAATTACGTAAAGTATATCCCACAATAAAGGATATTTTGAAAAAGGATACCAACACCAGGGTCTTGATTGCTTCTTCTTTTTACGTCCCATATTTTCTTACTAACTTTTAGCAATTGAAAATTAATAAAAAATAATGCCACTAAATGTTTTACGCCCACGTAATAAGAATTTAAGTCGTAAAGTAACTGCACTGCACACACACGTAAAAATCGACGATGTAAAATGGCGACTGCATCTTTTCCGTATTTGACGGAAGGAACTGTGTGTGCGTAACCAATAGTATTACTTAAAAATTACTAGCTTATTCAAGTAAATTTTCCCTAATTAATTTTTAAGAAATATTATTTATAATAAATATTATTTATATTTTGTCAACATTTTTCATTTAATTAAAATGAAAAAATTATTTTTAACAAATCAAATTTTTTTCTTTATACAATTTTATATTATTTTATACAATAAAATTTTGAACACATTGGTTTTAAATACATTTAATTTGTTAAAACAATTGTATAAACAGAAATTTATATATCATTTTATGACAATGTTTTAATTTTTTATATATCTCTTATTATTTTTGCATCTTACTTGATAAATCACAAATATGTGATAAGTATGTGTGTGTATATATATATATGTATATATATATATACATACACATATGTATGTATGTATGTATAATATACAAAATTATACAAACATTTAAAATAATATAAATCTATATTTTTTTGTATAACAACATGAAAACTAATACTTAAGAGAAAAATTGCTAGAAAGGTGAATTAAATAAACAAAAAAATATGTATATATATTAATATAAAAAATACTAATACAGAGATTATAATCTACAATCACATTATGTTTGCATAGAAGTTAAAAATAAAATTTACGTGATAATTTTACAATGACAATCCTTTTGATATAATTTTAATATTTAAAAAGTATAAACATAGAAATATTTTATAAACAATAAAAGACCTCCGTTAGCTGCAAATTCTTTGTTTCAATGGAAGATCACTTTCTGAATCACTGGATTCATTAATAGCACCAGGTTCATCATCTGAAGAAGAATAATCTTTTTGTTTTACTTTTACTTTCTGTGTTTTTTTAGGCTATAAAATAATAAATAATTTTATTAATAGAATTATTAAATTCATAAATTTAATCAACACATATAAAATGAAAAAAAAAATATATAAAATTCAATTGATATAATACCTTTGTCCAATTTTTAGCAGATCTTTTGGAAGTATTAGTTTTTGGGACATATTTATCAGCAACTCCTTCAACACGCCTAATATCAAAATCTTGGTCTACTTTAGTTACTGTTTGTAATCTTTGTTCCTCTGATGTTACATATAGATCATCTGATTGATGATAATTATTATGTACTTCATATGCTTTTTTGCTGCAAAATAAAGCAGCACATACTGTACATTTTATTAAATCTTCTGGAACAGCTTCCCTTTCTTCCTGTTGATTATAAAAGATAATATAATAAACTTGTAACATAAGTTATTTACATCATATTTATTTATATTGCTTTACTTGAGTATGTGCTCTTTCCAAATGACGCTGTAAATTAAATTTTATAATATATTCAACACCGCACAAATGACAGTAATATACACTTAAAGCATCATTCATTGAGTTCAATTTGATTTTATTGCTAGGGGGTGGTGTTGCTATTGGTTGAAATAAATGTACCATTCTGTAAATTAAATTATTAGGTAAAATTTAAAAATATTTAAAAATTTAGTATTAGTAAAAAAATTTACAACCTTTTATGTATAGAACGATAATGATAATCTAAAGCTTTTTCATTATAAAACAATACATCACAGTCTTCGCATTTTTTATGTTGTTCTTTCCTCTCACTTTCAGATGAATCATGCGATGCTTGATGATTATCTCTGTGTGTCTAATAAAAAATAAAATATAAAATTAAAAAAAATATATAATACATAAAAATATATAAAAACATACTTTTACAGGAAATTGCATTCCACAATAATGGCAATAAAATTTTGTTGGTGAATTAGGATGTACTTTAAATCTATGTCGTATTGTTGCAGTAATTGAATCAAATGTTTGTCCACACATATCACATTGGGTATCATCATTTTTGTTAGTCTTCACAGATCTACCTCGAGTATCTATTTCTTTGTTGGCATGTTTTCTAAATATAAAACATTTAACTTATATATAATTACACTTTCTATTTCTAAGCCATTTTCATTAATGAATTCAGTAAAATTAATTTTTTAATTCATTCTTCTTTTTTTCTTTTCCTAGAAATGAGTTACTAGGAATTTCATGAACAAAATAAATAACTAATTATATTAAATATGCTAAGATATTCACTTCCTTTTTTTTTTTAATAAGAATTTTAAATTATTGATAAAAAAATTTTAAATTTAATATATTTAAATAGATAAGATAAACATATCTAAACAAAATATATATTTTAAATATATTTCTATATATTCTATATATGGACAATATATATTAGAAAAATTTTATAAAAATGCCATATAATGATTAATTCTATTTTCTTATTTTTAATAATTTCTTCTAGGGTGCAAATAACTATATGATATAAAAAAAAATCATTTAACTTTTGTACAATAAAATAATATGAATTAATTTATAAATTATACAATATATATTATATATATTATATATTATATAAATTAATTATTTAATATTTATTTAATATAATAAGGTATAATATGATTCATATATTATTACATTCAATTTAATTTATCTTAAAATGCAAAAATAATTTTTAAATCTTATAATCTTTCTTGGCAAAATAATATTAAAATATACAAATTAAAATGTAAAATATGTAATATATGTAATAAAATTTACTATAAAAAAAAATTATTAAAAATTATTAAAATTATTAAAATAAAGTAAATCTAAATATTAATTTAATCCAAATGATTTGAAAAAAAATTTTAATCATAATTTTATAATTATTAATTTATTTAGCTTACTTTTAAATTTTATATAATATTCTATATAAAATTAATCAAAAAAATTAAATATATTTTTAAATAATAAAATATTTCATATTAATCAATATTAATTAATAATTATAAATTTCGAATAAACAATATAAAATTATTTTTTAATATTCATCACTAAAGTATATAAAAATATATTAAAAAATTGTATTTATTTAATGAAATTAAACAATAATTTGAAAATATATTAAAATCTATTTAATATTATTGATTATTATTATTTACTTATTATTATTATAGCAGAAATAATTCTATCTCAAGAGCAAAAAAAAAATTCAAGCAGTCGGAAAAATAGCGCAAAATAATCTATTGCGCTATCAATAATGTAATTGAAAATTATTATTAATAACTATTTAAAAATATTTTTGCTTATTAAAAAATTTTTAATTCAGAATATGTATTGGAATAGGATGAAAAAATAGGTTGTAAGTATAAAAATAATGTTGTTTTATAAGATTGCTTGTATGGTTATAAACATATCAAAAGGAATAGTTTCTTTTGGTACCTAAAATGTGCTTGCAAAGCTTCCTTGGATTCTAATTTTGAGTCACACAAAACGCAATTGTGCTGGCCTTTAGCACTCATTTAGGCGCGAATTCTTATTTCAAAAAAACATTAGAAATCTACCGGACGTCTTTGCGCCAGGTAGTATAACATATACAAATCTTTCACGCTTTATAATTCAATCGTAATAAGTATGCTCAATCAATCACAATCCGTAACAATGCTATTTTTGTTTTTTTCAATACATTGTTGTTTCTTAGCATATATGTTTTTTATACATACTTAGTTAAATGTAAAAAATTTCATAGAACTCACGTCCCCGAAGAAAAATCAATTTTCGGCCATTTTATTGGATTGAAAGTCGCGCCACCTATCGTATACCAATCCAAAAAATATAAAACGATCAGTTTTCTTGAGTGAGCGTGCATAATTTCCTTACTTATTCTTACAATAATCTTAAGTTAAATTCTTAAGCAAATTTAATTATAGATATGCTAGTGATTAATGCAACAATACTTGTTGTAAATATATAATTTTACATAATTTAGTTGAGACATATATTTTCAAACATAAAATTTTTAAATTATAAAATTCGTACATTTAATTTTTATAGAGATTATTTTCTATAATATATTACACAGTATAATATGATATAATATAATATAAAAAAACGAATATATAGATATAATTATAAGTTATATTTTTTTAATTATTTTTATTTTTTAACTATTAAATAATAATAAAAAAATTTAAATAAAAAATTATAATTAATATTAGAAATTTTTTAATTTTGTTTCATTTATATATTTTTTATAAATTTCAAATACAAATAATTCATTTTATAATAATTTAAAGATTTTGAAAAAATATTTTTCTATATTAATAATTAAATTCAAGAGATAAAATAATTTTTTTATAAAATTATTATAATTATATTATTTTTTATAATTATATTTTTCATTTATATTTATATCATTATTAGATATCAAATAATCAGATATTATAAATATTGAATAATAAAAACATATTAAAATTTAAAATTGCGAATATCTATTCTTAAATTATATTAGAAATATGTTACACATAAATATTGAGATTTGTGACATTTTGAATATATATTAAATATCTACATTTTTGTTATATAATTGAAAATGTTTATATACATTATAAATGGTTGTTATATATTTATTCCATTATAATTTAATAATAAATAGAATTCAAATATATCAATCTTCAAATACAATAAACAAAATTTATGCTATAATATACACATTGATACCATTGCAATATTTTTCAAATTGCATTTGGTAATAAGAAATACATTTATAATTTTTTAGCAAATAATGATGATTTTAAATCTCATCATGGGACTATATTTTACATTAAGATATATAAAATAGATTAATTGTTTAAGACAATTTTTACATTGATAATTCTTTTATAATTATTTATAATCATTTATAATCTCAATATTCTATAAAATTAATTGTTATTTTCTATTCTAAATATGATTAAAATAAAAATTTTCAGATATTTTTTGACTTAATTGCATAAAATTTACAAAAAATTTTAATTTTTTTATTCTCAATAGCATTATCTGAAATGATCTTTAGTATTACATATTTATCTATATGCAATGTTTTATCAAGACTTTATTATATATTATCATATTAACGAATTGCGCGATTTTTTTATGTAATAACTGTTATATTAATATTATGTTAAATAATGTTAAAGAAAAGATATATTTTTTTTAATTAAAATGTTTAAATTTCAAAAATATATACTTGAATATATATAATATATATAATCATTTAAAAAAATTGTATAAGATACTTTAAAATAAAAAATGAAAAATTAAGAATTAAATTAAGAATTATAAGTGTTTTTTAGTTTATATTTTATATATATTTACTTTATATTTATATGATTTCATTTATTAATTTATTTTGATAAATTTTTTTTTATTTATTCTTTTTTTCTTTTATTCTTTTTATATTAATTTTTCTATTATGTTAAAATAGATATCAATGATATATTAATCATTAACAAGTATATTATTTTTACATACAAATTTACATAACAGTTATATGCATTATAATCATTTTATCTGTAAGAAAATAATATTGATTTTGAACAAATCAAAACATTTACATCTCAATACTATATAATTACTTTTGTATCTCTCGATTATATTAAAGATTAATAAGAAAATTAAAATAAATATACATATTATAATCATGCAAAATTATATAGCTATAAAATTTAAAATATTAATTATAAAATTATTTTGCACATAATACATTAAATGGAAAATACTTCATTGCAATTCGTGATACAAGGTAGGAGATGATTGTCTATCTATTACACCTTGAGCTGCCAATTCAGCTAATGTTCTTTCCAAATAACTTGTATCAGGATAACCATGACCAGTTGTTGATGGACCCAATTCAGTCTTGTGATGAATTTCATTCCATGTTACTACATCCTCTCTTCCAGTAGTTACCGATCGTCCGATTGTAAATATTAATTTTCGTTCAAATGCAATTTGTAATAGTCTTAAAACTCTACGACCTAAATTATTATCTGGAAGATAACATATTCGTGGAAAACCTACAGCATAATAAGCTTGCCCTGGATTAGGATGTTCTCTTCCTTGAATTCCTGATGGAATGCTAAAATTAAGCATTTTATTTATATATTTAAAAGTTAGTTTAAAATTTTTTAGTAAATATTAATGAAAATATTCTTACATAAATTAATATTCAAAGTGAATAATATTTAAATTAAAATTAATATTACAAAAAATTCTTGAATAATATTAAAAAATAATTTAACAAAAAATTATAATCTAAAAATGTTTTTCAATCTACTTACTCATAAGTTATCTGAATTGTATTTGTATTTGGAAAACCAGGCAGTGCTCGAGGTATTCTTGTCCAATTCATAGTTCCAGGAGGTTGATTTCCTCTTTTTTCACCATAAATTAAACGACAAACAGGACATTGTATATACATAGGAGGTTGCTGACAACTAAGCATTGCATTCAAACAAGTTAAATGTAATCTATGTTTACAGCGAGTCAACTCTACAGTTAATGGTTCTGGCATACCAAGACACACAGGACAAGAATCGCAATTATCACTTTCTACTACTTTTACATATTGAGAAATAACATCAGATTCAGCATCAACACCTAAACAAAATAAATTCTTTTATAAAATCATAAAAATAATTTAAAGAAAAAATAATAAATTACCCAAAACAGCATCTTTAAAAGCATCATCACTTCCTACACTACTATCCAATAGATCTATTGGATTTTCATGACTAAGATATGTAGAAACTGTATCAACACTTGGTCTTCGTCCACTTTTTGTACTACTAGAATCTGCATCCAATGCATTATCCCAAGTTTTTCTTTTTTGCCCAGATTCAATATTTGTTGTAATTGAATTATTTTCTACACCATGCTTATTACTGAATATATTAAAATTACTCAAAATAACACGAGCTATATTTGATGCACCAGTATCTCCATTTTTGCCCTGATACATGATATTAATATTATAAAAAAAAAAAATCATATCAATAATAAAAATTATTTTTCCAACCTTCTTATTATTTTTCTTTGTATTTCCAGTAGATGATTTTTTATGTGTAATTTTTGTATTTAAATTTTTAACAGTTATAGATGTTTTTTTTTCAGAAATAACTTGTAATTCTTCTAAAGCAACTTTAACTAAAGGATAAGGTGCTTGTTGAATACGACGTATTGGCCTTACATATCCAGTACAACAACGGACTTGAGTTAAATTACAAAAATTTATAATGTAAGGAAAACCTAAATAGGTTTTAGAAACATCAATGGTTTTATCACCCTAAAAAAGAATATTAATATAATCCTTATAATTATAATTAATTTATAATTGATATTTGTCATCAATTAATATCTTTATTTACTCTTGCCCATGCTTCTTCTATGAAACATTGTACTTCCATGTCATATGTATGCCAATCATCTGTATCACCAGCCCATTCCCATTTAGCTCCTTTTCCAGCTGGTGAACTTGGAAGATAAAATTTTCTTCTAACATTATGTGTCTCATTTCCATCTTCACTACATTGTGTTTTAGTTTTTAAATTTATGTAATATCTATTTGAAATAATAATAATAAATATTCTTTTATATATATAAATAAAAAGAAAAATTTATAATTACTTAATTTTTAATTTTAAATATATAATAAATTAATAGAAAACATTCTTATATTAATTTAATATAAATAAAATTTGAAAATTATTTATTTATTTATTTACTACATTTATCTAATATAATTTCTTTTTCAAATAATAATAATAATAAATTTACACACACACATATATATATATATATATACAAACATTCTAAAATAGTAAAATAGAAATGATTTTTTCATATTTTGTATTTTTACTTTTTTTGAATAATTTTTAATTTATTTTTCATTTAATATTTATTCATATATTTTAAAAAATAAAATTTTCAATGAATGTATATTATAATTTTCAATAAAAAAAATAATCTAAAATCTAACCTATCCAAATTTGGATCTGCATCATTTAAAAAGACTCGAGTAAGTTTTTTACAATGTGCTCGCTCAAGATGTTGTGATACTGCAGGACTATAAGGCCGCCATCGTCCATGACGATTTTCCCATTCCCACACAACAACAGCGTGACCGTGTTCTTGTGCCTGACTGTTCATTTTCTTATATAAAAATTTCACACATATATACAACACACACTTGAATAACGAACATTTTTAACGAGGAAACATTTTTAAATCTGGTGTTCACTTTAATTTATCTTATTGCATATGTAATGCACATACTCACATAAATGCATATAAATAAATATATGTTATATTTCATTTATATATATGTTTGCAAACAAACATTAATGTTTTTATTTTGTTTTTTTTTCAATCAACACTAAAATCAAAATGATAACATATAATATTGAATTTTAAGAATGAATGAGAAAAGAAACATAAAAATTAACGTTATTCCGAATCGTTTTATTTGCAATGAAATACAACGCGAACAAATTCGTCTGAAGTACAACTTATATACACATAATTCTTAACATCGAGCAATCGAAATATCGATAATCGATTTCAAACAATCGTGTTTAAAAATTCTTATTAGTTAAGTTTATGTAGTTAATATTAATTAAATAAATTAAAAATATTTTGAATTATATTTCAATATCTTTAATCAACATTATCTCTAATTGAATTTACTATAACAAAAAAATAATAATTTTATTATTTATATATATTTTATATATAATTATAATATAACTATATTTATTTTCTATCATTATTTAATGATATTCTATTACTGATCTAATATTTTACTTATATGTCCTCTCTCTCTCTCTCTC